TGGTCCCACATGACATAATCCCTTGCATGTGGATTAATGGACCTGGAAACAGTTTTTTGCCAAACTGTTAAAGTGTTATTAAACCAACACAACAATAAAATCTGTCTGTATATGCAGTATGTTTTTTTATACTCACTGTTGAACTTAAGTGGTTAATCCTCTGCATTGTGTAAAAAGGATGTTTGATCCTGTCTTCTCTGATCCCCCTCCTTCTTCCATGTTCCCCATTTCATCTCCTGATAGGACACAGCCTCGGGGACACTCTGCACATGCTCAGTTTGGTATGCACTGCTAGAGAGTTTTTTCTTTTTCTTGGGTGAGTGTATGGGATCAGTGTATGTGTATGTGACTGCCCGTCAGTAGTTTGATGGGCAGAAGTGCCCAGAGTGGTTATTCAAAGGATTATTTATCCCATTACTTTATTTCACTGAATAAAACATGTTTTGTGGCTTTAAAGGAGACTTGATTTTTCTCTGCTGAATTTTCACTTTCATTTACAGCCCACACACACACACACACACAGAGTTTGTGATTGGATAGTAAAAGGCAAAGCAGTGCACTGATAACCTTATCTGCGTGGTCTACTAGCTCAATGCAACCATTCATCTACTAGACTGATACATCTTTTAACTTGTGCATTCTGTTACAATGAGCACATTAGTAGCATACTTCATGCTTCTATAGCATCAATTAGGAGAAATGGCTTTTGCATTTAGCCATTCAAATAAAATAGGTGGTTAGAAATTATGTTCAGACTACTCGTGTAGCACTATTACAAGCTTCACTGCATACACATATGCTAGATAAGATTTTGCCAATAAGAAAACAAATCAAGGGCAGTCATCTAGATAGGAAAGACTGTACCTGAATAATCATTGATATGATATTTTACTTCCAAATTTGTGATATACAGTATATGTATACACTATCTATGAGCAAGAAATAGGCTTTGCTTGTTTTTGATTGAAAAGATACAAGAGAATTGGACAACAAGCTAAGCATAAGGGGTACTGGGTTGCAATTGCAGGAAATAATAGCGTCATAAAGTGAACTTCTTGCACTCAGCCTGCTGCTCACGCTACAGTACTTTAACATATGCGCTGATAGTGATGAAGGTCAGCCAAGCAAACAGCTGTTATATTCCAAGTCCTTTGAGAGTAAGTACTAAACAAAACTGGAATAGAAAACAAACAGGGGACTATCAATGAACATACAGTGTTAATTACATCCAAAATTCATACATAATCACATAATCATGACTGGCACATGAAGCAAAGGAAGAAAGGGGTCTATTGTTAAAAGGATCAAACTGTTTTTGCTCCTGATTTAAACCCTCCTAAGCTTTGCCATGAGTTTATGTTATGTGGTCATTTTAAATATTTACATATGGTATATGCGTTCAGAAATTCACATCACCACAAACCATGAATAAGATTTACAGGGTTTTCCACTTCCAACTTACAGTGCATCCAGAAAGTATTCACAGCGCTTAACTTTTCCCACATTTTGTTATGTTACAGCCTTATTCCAAAGTGGATTAAATTCATTTTTTCCCTCAACATTCTACAAACAATACACCATAATGACAACATGAAAGAAGTTTGTTTTGAAATATTTGCAACTTATTAAAAATAAAAAAACAAAAAAAAAACACATGTACATAAGCATTCACAGCCTTTGCCATGCCACTCAAAATTGAGCTCTGGTGCATCCTGTTCCCACTGATCATCCTTGAGATGTTTCCACAATTTGATTGGAGTCCACCTGTGGGAAATTCAATTGATTGGACATAATTAGGAAAGGCATAAACCTGTCTATATAAGGTCCCACAGTTAACAGTGCATGTCAGAGCACAAACCAAGCCATGAAGTCCAAGAAGGAATAGACCTCCAAGACAGGATTGTATCAAGGCACGGATCTGGGGAAGGGTACAGAAATATTTCTGCAACATTGAAGGTCCCAATGAGCACAGTGGACTCCATCATCTGAAAGAGCTCCAGCGTTTTCTGTGGAGAGAGGAGAACCTTCCAGAAGAACAACCATCTCTGCAGCACTCCACCAATCAGGCCTGTATGGTAGAGTGGCCAGACAGAAGCCACTCCTCAGTAAAGGCAAATGGCAGCTCACCTGGAGTTTGCCAAAAAACACCTGAGGGACTCTCAGACCTCAGATTGAACTCTTTGGCCTGAATGCCAAGCATCATGTCTGGAGGAAACCAGGCACCGCTCACCACCTGCCCGATACCATCCTTACAGTGAAGCATGGTGGTGGCAGCACATGCTATGGGGATGGTTTTCAGCAGCAGGAACTGGGAGACTAGTCAGGATTGAAGGAAAGATGAATGCAGCAATGTACAGAGACATCCTTGATGAAAACCTGTTCCAGAGCACTCTGGACCTTAGACTGGGCCAACGGTTCATCTTTCAAAAGGACAACGACCCTAAGCACACAGCTCACATAACAAAGGAGTTGCTATGGGCCAACCCTGTGAATGTCCTGGAGTGGCCCAGCCAGAGCCCAGACTTGAACCCAATTGAACATCTCTGGAGAGATCTGAAAATGGCTGTGCACCAATGCTCCCCATCCAACCTGATGGAGCTTGAGAGGTACTACAAAGGAGAATTGGAGAAATTGCCCGAAAATAGGTGTGCAAAACTTGTAGCATCATACTCAAAATGACTTGAGGCTATAATTGGTGCTAAAGGGACTTCAACAAAATATTGAGCAAGGGCTGTGAATACTTATGTACATGTGTTTTTTTTCAGTTTTTATTTTTAATAAACAACAAAGATTTCAAAATGAACTTCTGTCACATTGTCATTATGGGGTATTGTTTGTAGAACGTTGAGGAAAAAAAATAATTTTATTCATTTTGGAATAACGCTGTAACATAGCAAAATGTGGCAAAAGTTAAGTGCTATGAATACTTTCTGGATGCACTGTATGTGAAGAAAAACCTCTACATTCAATAAACTGTTCTCTTTCCAATTTACTGTTCACAATGGCTACTACTATTTTTTGCAGCTGTATATCTTAGTCTAATGCAACACTGTCCATACAAAAAAAGAAAAATTAAAAGCTGTCTGCATAAGATATATTCCATCATTTATTGGTGGGTGTTGCCTCATATTTTTGTTGGCTTCAAGAGTTATGGTGGCTGAAGAATCTTTAGCATTCAATGCACTCCTGGGTGTGTGAGGTACCTGATTCCCCAATGCACAATATTGGCTTCATCCCCCAACCTCTAAATCACTAAAGACACATCCATGATGCAGGGAACTGGACATCCAACAAATCTGAAAGCTGGGTGGAAGCTGATGATCCTTGAAGACAGTAAAATTCCAAGGCCCTCTGGAGAGGTAAGTATATCTCTTCTTTAATATCACTTGCCACCTCACACACAGTAAATACACTGCGAGTGGGCAGCAGGAGCAGGCACGGCAATGTACATGTGTATTGCCACCAGGGGTGGACTGACCATTTGGAAACTTGGGCATTGCCCGAGGGCCCGAGGTCAGTAGGGGGCCCCATGAGATGCCCCCAGTACCTTTTTCATAGGCTTTTTTGAGTTTGGGCAAGGACACAGGGGCCCCATGATCCCCTATGCCCGGGGGCCCCATGAGTGTCAGTCCACCCCTGATTGCCACCTTCTGGGTTTCGGAGAGCACACGTGCACCCCCTGCCAATCTGTGCTGTGATTGGCCTCAGCACGAGTTTGTTAGCAAGTTACAGCCAATGATCTTAGCTGAAACCTGCTAATTGGCTGTGGCCATTCACAGAACAGAGTCTTGGGTTTACAAACACACAGGACAAGCAAACAAAATAGCAATCTGGCTGTTTCTGATCCCTGAAAAGCAGGGAGGAAAACAGCCAGATCTGTAAGTAAAAGCAGCACAAATCACACACGTTACATTTGTTAGGAACACAGTTAACCCCTTGATTGCCCCTAGATGTTAACCCCTTCCTAGCCAATGTTGTTAGTACAGTGTACAGTATTATCAATGATAACTGTATTAGTGTCACCAGTGACATCAGTGTCAGTTAGTCAGTTACGTTATTGTCCCTCCCAGCCAGTGCCTGTTAGCATCAGATTGCCTGTCACGCTATCACAGACCCACGATAAATTATTGGGATTTTTTATACCAAAGATATGTAGCAGAATAATTTTTGCCTAAATTCATGAAGAAATGTGATTTTTGCAGTGCTGAATAGCAAAAAATGTCCTGGTCATGAAAGGGGTAAAACCTTCCAGAGGTCAAGTGGTTACCTTTCAATTGTGCAAGTGTTGTCTTTAAGGCATTCAAGCTTGGCCTCCTTACATGCAAAGTGCACTGCCTGAAATGTTTTTAAAAAGTAAAAAAAAAAGCATTGCTTTATGTTCCAAACTTTTACTTAAATATTTTCCTCAATGTAATGTTGCTGTGGATGAGTGATGAGTGATAGCCTGTGCCAGTGAGTGCACCATGACAAATCAAAGGTGCTTTTGTGGCCTGCTGCCTCTTATAGGCTTTTAAAGAAGGAAACTGTAAGTGATTTTTAATTACATTCATAGGTAATACATATATTTCACAACTTAAGTGGGCTCCAAAAAATTTTTATTTGATGTGCCTAGCTACAGGTCAGCATTCAAAGCCTGAGAGCATTGTATAATGCTATGAAAATATTAGAGTAAAAAAGCCCCTGCATCACTAATTTACTTTTAATTTTATCTATATATATTGTGGGAACTCGCTTCAAAGTGGTAGAGCTTTTCTTTTTAAAGCACACAGCAACTCGCTTATTCTTCTTTTTAAGGGCCTTTTTGCCCAATTTTATTTAAATGAAAAAGTTCCATAAATCTTCCCACGCAGGGGTATCCACCAACAAACACATGCAAATGAAAATTCAGTCTCCTGGCTTGTACGCAGTTTTATGTCTGTCTCCTGCAGACTCTTCCCAAAATATGGCTCTCGCACACAGCTGGCAACTAGCACACAGCTAGTCTGGCTTCCACCTCTCCTTGGTGAAGCCCACCTGACTCCAAGGCAGAGACCTCCCGTCTGCCAGGGTGGAGCCCTACTGACTACTATCTTCTGGGTGGAGCCCTCCTGACTCCTGTCTGCCGGGATAGAGCCCAGAACCATGGTTAGGCCTCTATGAAAAGGCCTGCACACACCTGTGCAATCAGTGTCCTGGCCATTCCCAAAACCTGGTCCCAGGATTGGAGATTTCATCCCTCGCAGATCTCTTTGAAATCTCCAGACTCCAGATCCCAAAACAGACTCTATGAATAAATGAGAAAACCGAAAAGCCAGTTTTCTCTGTGTTGCATCAATCTTCTGGAGCCCCTCAACCTGCCTGGTTGAGAATCCAGGGTTATCAACTTGATTTTGACCGTGGCAGGACACCGCACTGCCACATATCCCCCCCTTTGTTTTGACCCCGTAGGGGGCGGAACACACAAACCTAAACTCCTTGCTTTAGACCTTCTGTGCCAGCTATCACCTGTAAAGGTCTAATCCTGGCTAACTTCATTTTCATCAAAGGGAGACACTACTCCCTGCAAGAGGTGACTTCCCCTGTCTCCCCTTACTTGGGCTCTACGACATCCCCATGCCTTTTTACGAGTGTGCTTCCAAAAGCGCGGCCTTTCTAATTTCCTTAAGACTATACTAGTCCTTTTACCACTAGGGGGGGTTTACAAATCTCGGTACCCTTTGTAACCTGGGGTTGAATCCTAAGCTTTAAGTGCCCGGTACCTGTACCGTTACAATGTGCTCCCTCAATTTCCATTAGACTAGCCATTTTTACTACCATGCTACCAGCTACCATGTCAACTTGACCACCAGGTCTACCATTCTTTTTGTTATCACACACTACAATCCAAATTCATCAATACATTTCCCTTTTTAGCATTATCAAAAATACTCTTGTCAGAGCTCATTTCACTAGTAATTGGCAGGGCAGTGTCTGGAGAGGAATTACCCACAGTGGAGTGGGCGTCTCCCATGGAAACGTCACTATCCACCGACTTCACTGTCACAAAAGACTCTGCCAGCAACTGTCCTGATGCCAATATAAATCCTTAAATACTCTAATTCTGCATTACGAAAAGTATCACTCTCAACCTTGAAAGTGCAAAACAAAATGTAATAATATGTGTCGATACTTCCCAGCACTTCCCACCAGTGCAAAACAAATACCAACAAAACCACATATAAGTCCTGTCCAAAAATACAGTACTTTCCAATAAGTAGTGTTTTTCAAACGTTAAGGAACACTCCACTTTGCTGAATTCCAATCCAGGACCTCAAAATCAGGATACCTCAAAAAAATATAAACTCAATATAGTGCATCATTACAACAAAAGGAAACACTCGTGAAAACTGAAAGTGATTCCTCCAAGACTCCCACCCGTTTAAAACACCAAAAAAAATTAGGTGCAGCACTCCACACCAGTGTTACCATCCAAATAAACTAAAAACCATTACCCTCTATATAAACATACATCCAAAATAAAACCATCTCTTGTGGAATAAATACTATACCCCTTGCAATGCAGACCAAGCAGCCTTCAAAGCAATCCAGTGGTTTCCCCCTCTTCGGAAGCTTCTATTTGCTTCCAATCCACCTTCCCTGTTCCTCAAAAGGGGCAGATAGTACACTCTCAGTGAAATATAAAAGAGGATTTCACAATTTATTAGTATCTTACATAAAAAACACCAGCTGTACATCCTCTCCCACAGTCCATGTATCTGAATTCCAGTGTTCAAGATGGCCGTGCCGCTACTTCGGTTTGAAATCGCATAGTACGTCTGTTAAGGACGTAAAGACGGCCCAATTTGAACACTGGAACAGACCTAAGACCTTCCTGGAGACCTTCCTGGAGACATGGAGACACTCATTTACTGATGCCTCAGAGGTGGTGCTTCTTAACGAGGCTTCCTCTCGGCTGGAGGTACCCAACACAATAACCTGGGGCTCTCCCAGAGCGTAACCAGGTGTGAGATTCACCCAAATACTCTGAGGCTCAGTGTCAATGAGCTCTTCCACACCTTCTCTATGGATAGCAGTTTGGTATACCACACCATTAACTCCTTTATGGGCTGTGGGCAGAACTTCTGCTGAGCGTTTATCCTCAATGGTGCCTTTTACCAGCGGTGGGTTAATTTTGGTAGCGACAGGTGCGCCCTGGACTAATAGCTGCTCCACAGTCCCGCTATTCAGCACAGCAGAAACCATGTCCACTCCATTGTTACCCACTGAGGCCTCTCTTATTAATGCCAACAAGCTTGTTGCCCATCTGTCCCAGTCCATCGTCCCTGTGCTCCCATCAAAGGTACTACGCAGTACCACTCCAACCGCTGAAGGAGACACAGAAGGACAGAGTGGCTCTGTATCAGACCCATTACCTATATCTTCATTATCCATATCACACTGGGAGACTCCATTTCTAGGCACAGCAGATTGCAATTTCCTACTCTCACCACTGTGACCTAGTGGCGTGTCATTCACTACAAATACTTTTGCATTAGTGGATTGCACTAACCCATCATCATTATGAATTCGTTCATACCTTTTAGATTCACCATTGCCAGACTGAAATAACAAAATTCTCATCACTCAATTCAGATACACTCTGGTCCACCAGAGCAACACCATAGTTATCCTGGGTTACCTTAACTATTGTTGCTAGGGGAGATAACACATCCTGCTTAGTGGTCACCCCTATTACATTTAATTCAGCATTCTGTTTATAGGACATTGGTGCAACCCCAATATCAGTACTCTTCACATTGACATTTTTAACCGTTGCCTCCCCACTAAAAGCATTATACAGAGGCAAGGCTTTCTCACAATCACCAGCAGTGGCTTTCCCAAATGGGAGTATCCCAAATTTATAGCAGAGAGTCTCAAAGTCAGTCTCAATCAGTGCATTAGTATCTCTCACATTTATCTCAAAAGTACCAGTCTTACCCACCACTTCAACAGGCTTCACCTTCTTCACTTGAATGCGTGGGATCTGGATCCTTTCTGTCATCTCCTCTGCTTGGCTTTGGCCAGCCAGTTCATCCATGCAGCTATAGGATGATATTGTGGTCCGACACTTCTGACTCCTTGGCACCCCCTGCAGGCACAACAGGTACTTCCTCACTGTTGCTAGAGGTGGCTGCCAACATTTTTAAACACGAATCTGGGCTTGCAGATGAAGGCTTTTGCCCAGTAGCACCCTCATCAGTGGTATTCCATAATCTGGGGCAAGTAAAGATACCATGCCCAAACTGACCACATTCCAGGCAGGGTATGGTTCCACCGATAACCTTCTTGGGATACGGAACCACATCTCCCTTGTAGCCCCTTTTCCTGGTTGGCACACTTTCTCCTGTTGCTATCGGAGATGGCACTCTCCCAGCTGAACTTTGTAGGTTACTCCAGATGCGCTGAACTATCATCTCTGCATTGCCACAATCCACTGCAGACGACACTTCTCTCACAGGGTCCGCAGGTCTGAAGTCACAGGTGTTACTATGGGCAACTACATTCTTATGAAACTTTTGGGCAGCTTGTTGCTGCTTCCTGGAACTCCAAGCAGGCTTCCCAATTGCATACCCAGACCTTTGTCTGGTTAGGTCACCTTGTACTGGAAGCTGGGATAAAGGGCACTTGGAGACAATGTGCCCCCATTCACTGCACCGCAAACAGCGCTCTTGCGGCAGTATCTTGGCTGGTAATTCCAACACTGCATCCTCTTTCAAGCGTTGTACTCTGCACACGGAAAGCTGGTTTCCTTTCACCAGTGTTGCCAGGGACAACAGCGCACACTTCCCACTGTGACAAACTCTGTACCGCCATGTATGGGGCTCGTTCTGGTGATATGCCCTCAAGCCACAGGGCTCTGTCTCTCATTTCAGCATATCTTGCTTCTTTTTTGAGTTTTGACCGGCCCATCTTTACAGTCACTCCACAACACTTTTGCACAGTCCAGCAACCAAGACATGAAGCACGGTCTCTTTAAGGCAAAGTCTTAAAGAGACCTTTTGTCTTGCAGGTTCTTCTCACCTGCACACACAGATAGGGCAGACTCATGCACCAAACACAGTTCAACAAATGAACTTACTTCCTTGCTGGGATCTCTAGTTCTGCTCGCTGCATCCGCCACCATATGTGGGAACTCGCTTCAAAGTGGTAGAGCTTTTATTTTTAAAGCACACAGCAACTCACTAGTTTTCTTTTTAATGGCCTTTTTGCCCAATTTTATTTAAAAGAAAAAGTTCCATAAATCTTCCCACGCAGGGGTATCCACCAACAAACACATGCAAATGAAAATTCAGTCTCCTGGCTTGTATGCAGTTTTATGTCTGTCTCCTGCAGACTCTTCCCAAAATATGGCTCTCGCACACAGCTGACCACTAGCACACAGCTAGTCTTGCTTCCACCTGTCCTTGCTGAAGCCCACCTGACACCAAGGCAGAGACCTCCCGTCTGCCAGGGTGGAGCCCTCCTGACTCCTATCTTGTGGGTGGAGCCCTCCTGACTCCTGTCTGCCAGGGTGGAGCCCAGAACCATGGTTAGGCCTCTATGAAAAGGCCTGCACACACCTGTGCAATCAGTGTCCTGGCCATTCCCAAAACCTGGTCCCAGGATTGGAGATTTCATCCCTCCCAGATCTCTTTGAAATCTCCAGACTCCAGATCCCAAAACAGACTCTATGAATAAATGAGAAAACCGAAAAGCCCATTTCCTCTGCATTACATCAATCTTCTGGAGCCCCTCAACCTGCCTGGTTGAGAATCCAGGGTTATCAGCTTGATTTTGACCGTGGCAGGACACCGCACTGCCAATATATATATATATATATATATATATATATATATATATATATACACATTGTATTGCCGAACGTTTTGGGACACCACCTTTACATGCACATGAACTTTAATGGCATCCCAGTCTTAGTCCGCAGGGTTCAATATTGAGTTGGCCCTGCAGGTAGAACAGCTTCAACTCTTCTAGGAAGGCTGTCCACAAGGTTTAGGAGTGTGTCTGTGGGAATGTATGACCATTCTTTCAGAAGCTCATTTGTGAGGTCAGGCACTGATGTCGGATGAGAAGGCCTGGTTCGCAGTCTTTGCTCTAATTAATCCCAAAGGTGTTCCATCAGGTTAAGGTCAGGACACTGTGCAGGCCAGACAAGTTCCTCCACCCCAAATTCAGTAATTCATGTCTTTATGGACCTTGCTTTGTGAAAACTATTCCCACAAAGTTGGGAGCATGAAATTGTTCAAAATGTCTTGGTATGCCGATGTGTTAAGAGTTCCCTTCAGTGGAAGTAAGAGGCCAAGCCCAATCCCTGAAAAAACCCCACACCATAATACTCCCTCACCAAACTTTACACTTGGCACAATGCAGTCAGGCAAGTACCATTCTCCTGGCAACTGCCAAACCCAGACACTTCCATCAGATTGCCAGAAAGAGAAGTGTGATTCGTCACTCCAGAGAATATGTCTTCACTGCTCAAGAGTTCAGTGACGGCATGCTTTACACCACTGCATCTGGCGCTTTGCATTGCACTCGGTGATGTAAGCCTTGGATGCACCTGCTCAACCATGAAAACTCATTCCATGAAGCTCTCTATGTGTGTCTATTGTTGTGCTAATCTGAAAGCCACTGAATCTGAAAGTTTGGAGGTCTTTAGCTATTGACTCTGCAGATAGTTGGCGACTTCTGTGCACTGTGAGCTTCAGCATGCACTGACCCTGCTCTGTCATTTTACATGGCCTACAATTTCGTGGTTGCTGTTGTTCCCAGTTGCTTCCACTTTGTTACAATACCCTTAACAGTTGACTGTGGAATATTTAGTAGCAATGAAATTTCATGGATGGACTTATTGCACAGGTGGCAACCTATCATGGTACCACGCCTGAATTCACTGAGCTCCTGAGAGCCACCCATTCTTTTACAAATGGTTGCAGAAGCAGTCTGCATGCCTAGGTGCTTGATTTTATACACCCATGGCATGGAGGTGATTGGAACACCTGAATCTAATGATTTGGAGGGGTGTCACAATACTTTTGGCAATATATATATAATATTTTTTTATATTTTGGGGTGTTGGCAGATGAGCTTCAGTACAGTGTTTAGTACTATGACTGGTTAGTGTACACTATTCAGTGCAAAGTGATGCTCTATAAACTCAAACCTTTCAAGATAAACAGCAGTGCTCCTCCTGGAAATCTTTCTCTTTTTTTTTTTCACAATAAAGATTTATTGAAATACAAGGTAATTACAAACGGTGTACAAAAGGTAAGTTTTTTTTACAGCTTATATAAAAATAAAGAGTATAAAAAGGATATGCGTGCAAAAATGTGGTGAGTTAATATGTCAACAATACAATATAAATTATATTTCAAGTTTTTTCCATCAAATTTTTGTCAACATATGTATTATAATATTTTAACAAAAAGAAAAAAGAAATGCACTTGTATGAGGTAAAAATAAAGTAGTATAACGAAAATGCAGTGACTTAAAATAAAGAGGTTTAAAATAAAATACTTTAAAATAAGTTATGACTCCAAAGAGTAGACTTAACTACGAGATATACAGAAAGATCCCTAGACTATGGTAGATGGGAACATTTATGAATCTGAGTGATTGTTTAAGCGAAAGTTATTCTTAGGTATAAGTTTAGGTAATCAACCTCTTTATAATGACAAGATGATCTTTATTGCACGATCATTCAAGAACTGATCAATTCTTTATATTCTTCAAATAAGGAGAAAATATTCCAGGCTCTTCACATCTTATGAAAGCGTGTATTGGTTTCTTGTCACAGTGCTATTGTTTCCTACATGTAATAGATGATATCTATTCTTTCTAGCTATTCTTTTATTGTTGGTGTGTGAGTAGATTATCAATATTATGAAATTAGTGATTTTGCAACATTTAAAAGGTGTCTTACTAAAGAATTTTTGTATTTTTTTTATAAGAATAAGAATTTACATGGAGCAAAGAACTAGCAGGGTTCAATTCTAGCTTAATATTGGTAATATGTACAATCCATTTCTTAATTTGGTGACAATATCTAGAGTTAGGTGGGCAAGTCCACCACATGTGTAGGAAGATACCTTTGTCAGATTGACATCTCCAACATACATCAGAGGAGGAGAATGTTTAACTTTGGTTGGGGTAATATACCACTGTGTGAGGATTTTATATGAGATTTCTTGCATAAGTGTACTTAGAGAGCATTTGTGGGTGAAAACACATGCTTTTTGCAATTGATCTTCTGTGATTTGTATTTGCAGGTCTTATTCCCAAACCTTTCTAGCTTTATCTTGATATTCATTATATGTTTTTGACAGCCAGGAATAGGCCAAAGATGCGACTTTGCTAATAGGATTACATTTATAACAGATGTTTTCAAAATACAGTATGTGAGTGGTCTAGACAGCAATTTCTTATAATTGCTATATTTATGGAAGTCATGTAGTTGTAGGTAAAATCAGTAGTTAGGTATTAAGCTAATGTTCTTCTTGTAATGTTTCAAAGGATTTTATTTTGCTCTTATGGAAGCATTGGTAGGTCAGTAAAGATTTATCTTGATCTGTATATTTTCTACTATGGCTTTGTTGTCCTGGTGGGAAATCTGGGTTGTTTAAGATTGATGTTAAAGGACTATGAGTGGAAGAGAGTTTGTTCATTTTTAGAGATTTTGTGAAAAATGTCCAATGTTTCGTGAATCAGTGGGTGTTGTTTAATTGTTAAAGGGTAATTTAGAAGGCTGTATCCATTGTAGATATCGAAGAATAGGGGAGCCCCGGTACCTATCTAATTTAACCCATTTTTTCATTATTGGAGTGACAAGGCCAGTCTATTAGTCTGGTTAAATGCATTGCATAGTAATATTTTTTTGAAATGTGGTAACCCCATTCCACCTTTCATTTTGTGTTGGGTGAGTAGGTTAAGTTTAATACGTGGCTTTTTATCTGCCCATACAAAATTATGTTGAAAGTGTAGTAATCTTTTTAAAAAAGGCGATGGGATCTTAATTGGAATAGCATGGAAACAATATAAGAGTCTGGGTAGGATAGTCATTTTTAGTTTTTGTTGCTCTTCCAAACCAGGAAAATAGTTTGGTGTTCCATCGTTTTAAATCTCTTTCGATTCCTTTCAGTAAGGGTTGGAAAGTTGTGAGCAAATAAGTGTTCAAGTTGGAGAGTTAAATAAATCCCTAATCTCGGGATTTGGGTAGAGATATATCTGATGCAGAGTGGCTTACATCGTTCCATTTTACTCATAAATCCTCCATATCCTGCTACTCACAGGAAAATAATTTTAAGCTCCTCTCACAATGGTATAGGGATCCCTTTTCCTTCCATAGTTTATTTCCTTTTACATCCAACCTTTGTTGGCGATGTGGTGAGGCTGTGGGCATTCATCTTCATATTTGGTAGGATTGCAATAGAATTCGACCCTTTTGGTCCCAAGTCTTTGATATTTATAATAAAATCTATGGTGGGTCCTTTACCTTTTCCCCAAAGATTGCTCTTTTGTCTATATTACCAGGCTCATTAGCGGCCAAGAAGAAAAGCCTACTGTGTTTCTTTCTGTCTGCGGCTCACCAATTGATACCTCTTTTTTGCAAGATGGCCACCCCTCCTCCTCTGTCTTTTTGGGTCTCTATGATTAATGATATTATGCGCATGGAAGAAATGCTGGCATTTGCCAACGACACTTATGAGAAACATAAGTTATTGTGGTTGGTCTGGCTCCATTTCTCTTCCTCCACAACCCTTCAGGAATTGTTTGTTTCAACTGTGCCCCCCTAGACCTCGTTCATCTGGACTGGAGGGCTCGCAGTTGTTTGTGTAAGGGCTTGCTTCTCTGCTCTAGACATGACTTGTTACTTGTCCCCCCTCTCGTGGTTTGTCCAGGAGGCACACCATTGCGGTCTTACCCACTGTCCTTTCCCAGTTCCTGACTCCCCCTCTGACTTTTCCCCATCCTGTTCTTGTCTATTTCTTTTCCTCTTGTCTTTTTCTCTTCCTTACATTTTATACGGTTAGCTATCCAGGGACGAATTTTGACGCTTCTTGTGCCTAACCTTGGGGTCCGTCCTTGGGGTTATATTTTTTTTATATTTATGATGTCTACTGATAATCTTTTAACTCTACTATTGAGGTGTACAGATTGTCATTATCTCCTCTGATTGTCTTCAGCTTGTGACCAGTGCTCTGGTCCCATTTGTCTGTACTCCACTGTTTCTTTTTTTTATATGTCTTGTTACAAAATTAATAAAAACAAATTTGCCTTTAAATAAATCCCTAAATATATTAGTGCTTTACTTTCCCATTTGAAAGGGCACTTTTTTTTTGTTTGTTCTAATTTGTTTTTGGGGAGCTTATGATTTATTGTAGTTGATCTTGAAATTCGATATGTAGCTGAACATCTGAAAAGTTTTTGTTAGATTAGATATTGAGATATGAGGTTGTGTGATAAAGAATAATAGATCGTCTGCATATGCTGCAGATTTATATTCTCTATCTCCTAATTGAAAGCCATGTATAGCATTTTGTAAATTGATGTGTCTAATCAGAGGATCTAAAGTTAGAATAAACAAAATGGGTGATAAGGGGACAACCTTATCTAGTTCCATTGTGAATGTCAATTGGCTCAAAGAATGTGTGGTTGACTTTTATTTTTGCTTGTGGGTTATCATAAAGGGATGTGATCCATGACATCATGTTGTTTCTTAGGCCTATATGTGAACAAGTGGCAAACATATAATCCCAGGCCACTCTATCGAAGGCCTTTTCTGCAACTGTAGATAGCAGAAGGCCTTCTATTTTGTTGAATGAGTTCTGTGAAATAAATTTAAGGCTTTAATAATATTGTCTCTTGCGTCACAGCCTGGCATGAAACCAACTTGTACAGATCCAATGATTTTACTTGTGGTCTAAGTCTATTAGCTAAGATTTTTACTAGGAGCTTGAGATCTATTTTCAGTAGTGAAATTGGTCTATAGTTGGCACAGTCAGTGTGTTCTTATCAGGTTTTGGGATTACTGTTATATGGGCCATCAAAAATTAACTAGGGATATTTTTGTTTTTGCTTAGCGAATTAAGAGTGATTAGTAGTGATTCTTAAGGGGAGACATGAACAATTTATAACATTGTGATGTAAAACCATCTGGTCCTGTGCTTTTGCCAGGTTTTAAGTCTTTAATAACTGAGATTAGTTCCTACATCTTAATGGGTTCTTCTAGTTGTTCAGTGTTCTCCCTAGATAGTTTGGGTAATTTACTTTGCTTAAGGTACTCTTTAATGATTTGTTCCCTATTACCGTTGAAATCCAAAAATCTGTGTTGTGGGGTTGAGGTTGTATAGTTTATTATAATAATTATGGCATAATTTTGCAATTTTGTTAGTTTTGTATTCAAGTTTGCCATCGATGTTGCGAATACAGTGTATATTAGTTGCAATTTTTGAGTCTTTTAATGCTAGGTATTTGCCTCCTTTGTCTCCTTTATCTCCATGTTCATAGTATATACATTTTTTAAAAAATAGGGAGCGTTTCACTTTCAGATCTAAAATTTGCTGGAGAGCTTTTCTGTTATCTATTAACTGCATGCCGCCCAGCCACTGTACATATACGGCGGCAGGGCGACACTCACAGGCAAAACCACGTTTTAAGACGTGTGTTTTGTAAACAAATAGGGGCGCGTGCGAGGTGCGCCGCTGCCCTATTTGTCCCGCGGATCACCGCAGATGTCAGTCGCCGGGTCACAGCCGCTCCTTAGCCGCTATGTCCCGGCGATCGGCGGCAAACAGTGACAGAGAGCACAGCTGCAGTGGCTGTGCTGTCTGTCACTTCCTTCTCAGCTCAAGGATGAGCTGATCGAGAAAGAACAGTTTCTCTTTCTCGATCAGCCTTGTCCCGCCCAGTACACACCCCCGCCCCCTATTAAAACACTCCCCTCACTCCTA